TACTTATACCTTCTTAGGAGTCCGACCTCCGCACGCTTCGGGACTTGCCTTGGATAGCTCCCAATCCCGCGCTGAGGGGGATTCTCCCCGCCCTCTGCGGGGTAGCTCTCGGGAGCCTCACGGAGCCCTAGCCGCCGCGTGACCTAGGCTGGTTTCCCATGGGCCCGGGGTCCAAGCCCAACTCGGATCGCCCTGGGCTGCCACGTGTACGGGCCCAGGACGGGGCCTCTGCATAATCCTTCCACTAAATCTAAAAAAAGATTTTGGTCATCGCATTTTTTTTTATTATTCAGTTTCATAAAAGATATATAATTTTTGCATCCGAAGAATGTCGAATAAGCTATAGCCACCAAAAAACAAAAAAGAGTACTGTGTATCGTGCAATTTTTATTGATATATATATATATATATATAGGGTGGGTTTAGGGATTTTGTCGATCGGGTGAAAAGGCGGAGGAGTGAGTGAGCACAACGGGGATTTCAACAAAGCTCGACCTCTCCGTCATCCATTAATCATCATCCGCTTCCGCTGTCTTCTTTATTCTTCCTTTCCTCTCTTGAGTTCAGTTCAGCCATCTTACTGTTACACTTTTCTACTTGATTGATTTCTCTCTTTAGTCGCCTCCCCCCGCCCCCCCCCCCCCCCTTCCCACCACAAAACCACACTTTTCACACACACAGACAGTAGAAACTATAACGTCCCACATCTGAAATGGCCGTCCCATTCGCGACCCTAGTAAGCATTTCTCTCCCTCTTTCATCTGATTTCTCTGCTTTTTGTTTTTGTTTGTTCTCTTTCTTGGGTTTGAATATTTATGCTTGTTGTTGTGGTGCAGTCAAATGTTGGCCCGGTTTCAGCTCCAATCAGGACTCTGTGTCCTCTGAAGATTTCAAGAATTTCAATCCCATCATGTTGTCTTCCCAAGCCCATCCCAGCCACTGTATCTACTGCAAGTCATTCCACCTTCCTGTCCGGTTCCAGCCGCCTCACGTCTTCCTCCAACTCATCAAACCCTTTGCTTCTCAGCAAACGCGGCGCTTTTCTTCTTTCTGTCCGAGCCATGTCCGAGGTCACTTATTAATTCCTCTCACTACTTATCTCTAACCATCTCCATCTTCTTCTGGGATTTAATTCTGGGTTCAGTCGGGGACAATCCAGAAAACCCTCCTAAATGCAAGCCCTGCCCTTTAGACTGAAGTGGAAATTGGTTGCAAAACTTTTATTGCAATTGGAATTAAGTAGAATTTTAGACCTGCTTTGTGATATATCTGCATTTCCCAACATAATTGGTGCCCTCCCAACTTCCATCGCTTCTCTGGCACTGCAACTATTGCCTACTTTACTAATTTCTTTTATTTTTTCATGCTTGAGTTTCTCATTTATGTCATTACTATCTGACTTAGGAGGCTTCGTTACAATCCAAAGTAACGCACAAGGTATATCTAGACATCAGCATTGGAAATCCAGTAGGGAAGCTTGCTGGCAGGATTGTCATCGGATTGTATGGGGATGATGTCCCCCAAACTGCCGAAAACTTCCGTGCTTTGTGCACAGGTTTTTCCTCCCTTACATTATCCGCCGCCACTTCAGTTTTATACCATCTCCCTATCTGATGCTTTTCGCCTGAGTAGCCTACCTAATCCTTACTTCATCAGGAGAGAAGGGTTTTGGATACAAGGGTTCCAGCTTCCACCGTGTTATCAAGGATTTCATGATTCAAGGAGGAGACTTTGACAAAGGCAATGTAAGTCAAGTGATTAATGTTCCCAAATCATATTCGTAAAACTCTCCTTACTTGTTTGTGCTTCTTTTCCTTTGATCTACTGACTCACTTTTCATTCATCCATACAACTGAAATCATACCTGATTGATGCCTATAATGACTACCACCAACAGATATAAACAAGCTCATTTATAAACTTGTACTTCTGGAATTTCTGATTTTATGGTTGACCATCACAATCCCTAGCTGTCGGCAACCTACTTCTTGTTTCAAGTGTGACCCAACTGAACAGTCACGTTGTCTGCCACAATCTAAAGAACTATCATTGATGTGAAACCTCTCACTTTTCACAGCAGAGTAATGTATTACTACATTCTCAGAGTACGATAGAGTGCTCATGCTTGTATACGAGGTTCGCGATTACATTGGTGAAGCATGAATTATGCCCATCTTATAACTCTGATTCCTCTGTCACTTAGGAAGCTCAATTTTTATTAATTTGACCTTCAAGCTATAAGGCTGCATGAAAAGGTGCCAATGAATTGAGTTTTCAGATGATGAAGCTGGTAAGATCTTACTGGGCAAGTAGAGCACTTATAATTGGTTTATGCTCAAGTTTATTTCCACAGAATGTGATTCTATTTTTGGAAAACAAGATAAGGAAATTAGATGCTTTTAGGCATTAGTGGAGCAAGCATCTAGTGGTCCTTAGATGTAAATGATTTTTTTAGTCTCAAATGTTTATCACATGTCCTCACTGGAACTGTTGTAGAGTTTTTTAAGAGCATCGCTCAACTCCACCTGTCCCAAACCCATGTTCAGGCATTTTCCTGGTAAAAATCTGGATTGTCTTATGAAACCAGTCAATCATCACCATTTTTGACTTCTCTTTTGTTTTGATTTCCTTAGAGCTGCCTTTTGTAAATGTTTGCAAAGTTAATTGCAGACTCATTCATATGTTTGCTAACTCTTAATGTCCTAATATGACCAGGTGATTTGTCGGCCAGCTTAATTATCAGAGTGCTCTTGCTTTTCTTGTGAAAATGTCCAAGTTGCATGTATATATATCTAAAAGTGTCATTTTTGTTAAATTTTCTTTTGATTGCAGGGAACTGGCGGTAAAAGTATCTATGGCCGCACATTTAAAGATGAAAATTTCAAGTGTAAGTTGGTATTTTACATCTGACTATGTTCTCTTTCCTTCTCTGAAGATGGTATTACAGTATACCAATAATGAGAATCTCTTTATGACTTAAAATATTTGCAGTATCTCATACTGGACCTGGAGTGGTTAGCATGGCAAATGCTGGACCCAATACCAACGGGAGTCAGTTTTTCATTTGCACTGTCAAGGTATGTAGAAGGGCTTGGTGGAGAAAAAACTTATAATAGTGATTGTTCCACTTTTAAGCTGAAACTGGATAGTGACATTTTTTACGGATGTTAACATGTTTAAACAACAAGATACCATGAGTGTTTCATGGAATTCCTCCAATAGAGCAACTGCCTGTCAATCAGTCATCCAAGCTTCTGTAGTTCTTCTCTCCCATCAGTCTTTAATTTTTTACAATTTCCTTCTATTCGAATCGTGTTTCAGCATTTGCTTTTTTGTAAGCTAAATTGAGATTCCCTCCTTCAGAATGGGCTTAATATGTCAAAAATGTATCTTGTATCTGATAATTTTTGGTTATTGGCAATCCTACAAGAGCAAAATACAAAAAATAACGATACTTTGGAAATTGGAAGCCTTCATGTTTCTTCATTTGAAATTAGCTGATTTAGGATTTTTATGGGGTGCCTCGATTGTTTTATCACAATTGTTTTCTTAAACAAGAATTCTCATGTTTATGTTTGGCAATTTACAGACACCATGGCTGGACCAGCGGCATGTTGTGTTCGGGCAAGTTTTGGAGGGGATGGATATTGTCAGGTTGATCGAGTCGCAGGAAACTGACAGAGGTGATCGTCCTAGATTGAGGGTGGTTGTCAGTGACTGTGGCGAGCTGCCAGTGGCCTAATATGGGATTCCCTCTGCGTGTTCATGTTCAGGGTTTTGTTTGCCCCTTAATTTTTTTGGGCCTGCCTTTTTGATGTAGTGGGCTGTTTCCCTAGTGAGGCTTAATCCGAGTGTTTAGGCTTTTGTACTGTACTGTCAGAGCTGCTAATGATACAGGATTATGGTCCAAAAACTGGTATTTCTGGGACAACTAAAATGTTACTTTAGCTTAGTCCATCGTGAGAATACATTGCGTTACCGACCTACTATAATCTTTCAGTGAAATGGCAGTGTTTATTTTGTTGCTCTGGGAGATTATGAATCCAGTTTTGGATGGATGGTGGTTTTGTATTGGTTGTGTAAATTGGGGTAATTTGAGTGCTTGGTCGAAACCTAACTGTATGGGAATGAATTAAGTGATAAAATGCAGTAGTGCAGGAAGCTGATCCTTCATTTCTATTGAGGAGAACCGTGTTGATACATGATGAATGGTTGGAGCAGCTACGTTCCTTAACGTATCTCTGACTGTTGAGGAAGGTGCCCTGAACCCATCTCTCTCTTGATTGTTGAGAAGGTTAGCAAAAATCAGGTATATTTCAGGAGCTGAAAATGGGATTGGTGACGAAAAGCATTTTTTGCCCTGGTCATCTCACTGCAAGTGTTGTCCATGCGATCTAGAAGCTTCAAAAGGCATATTTCAGCGATAGACATATTTGTTTGGATAGTTTAATTTGAGGAAAAGAATTTGTAAATATATATTATTAGTGTTTGTATCGTAAACACAATTTTCAATCACTTTTCAATTTTATATACATCGCATCACAAAAAGTGTTCGCATACATTCTCTCACACTCACACACAGTGCACAATTATTCAGTGAAAATTCAGAGTGTATTATGCCGTGCAAACTTTTCACACACTGCACTATTTCATTTGTGTGCCGTGCAAACTTTTCAATGAAATTTTCTACACATACTGCACCTCTTACGATATGCTCTCATTTCTTCCCTCCCCTTAGATTAGACTAGATTAGACTAAATTAGGTTATAGGAATTCTACTGTTGCGACAAAAAAAAAATGATATACTCTCGTTTCTCGTACACGCTCTCACACTCACACTCACACATGGTGGGAGGGAGGTACAGTAGTACACAATAGAAACAGAAATGGCGGCTAATGTTCGTTGAAAGTCGTTTGACAGGCGTCTCAGAAAGGGATTCATGAGTGGGTCTTCCTTAAAACTCCGTAGTCGCTCTTGGGTTAGGCATCAGGTATGTTTCGAAACCAATGAATATATGTACTTGTATATGTACTTGCTGCTTGTTTTGTCCATCTCCCATTGCCTCACCACTTCCCGTGCTATTATCCAATGACTACTGAGTTGCTGCACCTAAAAACAATACCAACATTCTAACAACCATTTATCGATTTACATTGCCCACCAACACCAAAAAACAACAACAAAGAAAAGAGCTGGGGGAATGGAATTTACAGGTTATCCGGAAACTTTACAAGGCTTAAGCAGAATACACAGTTGATTGGTTGAGGCCTTAATCAAGGATCAACACGAAGTTGGTTAAAGGCTTTGCCATGCCTTTTTAACCTACCACTAATCCCATTCTATCCCATTCACACGTGCATTTTCCTGGCATCGGATTTCCAACTTAACTCCCCTATTCAAATGCTCAGGAGCATGATTTTATTAGACCCAAGTTGTAGAGGAACCTTTCTGATCTTGATCGAAATAAATTACCCAAAGAAAACTTTCCTCCCTGCTGGGGTGGTGAAGTTGAGTACGTTTCATCCTTGACACGGAGTATGGTTAAACCTATTTCTTTCCGAACTGCCTCAATGGTCTCGTTTTTTACAGGATAACCTGATGCATCCGTTACATAGAACACATTGACAGCTTGAGAGCCCCTGGTGGTGACCTCTGCCCGAGTAACTGAAAGGCCATTCTCTCTGAATATGCGCGTTACGTCTGACAGTAGGCCAACCCTATCTTCACTACACAATTCTAGCCTTATTCCCTGCATGACAAAAAACATCAAAGGACTTGGATGCAAGTCATTGTCAGGGAGAAAGAGGTAAGCTTTATTTCAAGTGATCCCATTTGGACTTAGTACCTCAGAAGTTCGCCTCTTTATAGCTGCCTCCAAGCAATGAATTAAACGTTGTCGCTCTGCTTCAGAACTAATGGGCCATCCATCAATATGTCTGATATAATATTCCTATACAAACAGGAATAGAGTATAGATCAAATTAAAATTCCAAGATCACTTGTCTCCTAAAGCCAGGATGTTTGTCAATACTTTAAATCGTTCATAATCTGGCTTTAAATGGCCAAAAACCTTGGATGGACTTATCTGCTGCCTCAGTCCTAATGCATAACTACTGTTCTGGGACTTGGAAAACGAAAAGCTTTCTACTGAACTAAAGGTTGTATGAGTATACCTGATGAGCCTCTGGTCCTTCAGCGATGATGGTACCATGATACACAACATACTGCATATCCGTTAATGTGCACACTGTATCAAAAAGAAGCTTAGGCCTGTCTGGACAACTCAAGTTCACAACAGTGTAGCCTTTATCCGCACATTTTTCTACAGTTACGAGTGGCTTGGTACGGTCGCTTGTAGGTGCACAATCCATGACATCATTATCATAATCACGATCAGCATACATCATTTGGTGCAGTCTCCGTTCTTTATGGGTGGAACCAACAGAAACAGCAGTATTAGCACTTCGCCTATCTTTATTTCCTTTTAAAACATGCAAGAGAAGCTGCTTTATCTTAGACAGTCGTTCAGGATCATCTATTGCAACTCCGTTCACTTCATCAGTGATGTAAACTACTGATGCCATTCTTGAATTATGAGTCCATACTTCTGCAGCAACTACATTACATTTGAGGTCAGCAAGAACAGCAAATACCTCTGAGAGCAATCCAGGCCTGTCTCTTCCTGTCAACTCGATAGTAGCGTGCTCCAGGGCAGGCTGGACACCAACAGATCTTCTGAAAGATCGAAAGCTTCGGCCCCTTGGTCCTAAGGACTGCCACACAATTTTCAAGCATCATGATAAGATACTAACACTGACCACACCTACAGGAACTAATTTACAGAGTGTCGAGTATATCCATAGTGGTTTTAAACCAAGTGCAAGACTTCTAAAAAACAATTGATGGCTGCAAGATCCATCTCTTCTGAGACATTGATGAAAGGAAGACCATGACAGCTCTGTCTAGGTTGGATGATGCGGCAAAGAGAAAAGTATATGGTTGAGAAAGCAACCATTAAGAAGGGACCAAAATCCTAAACTTCCAAGGTTAATGCATTTGAAACATTACTCAGTCATTAATTAAACGAAAAATAATGTAACTTTTACATGAAACTATGAATAATTGGCAAACCCACCTGCTGAATGCGTTCCGCCACCTTATCCTCAGATAGCTTATTCCCATCTTGATCAGTAACATGGAATACTGCAACAAATATCATCGGAAAGAAAAGAAGCTAAGTCTGAGTGTAAAGTTTTTATTTTTTTCAAGTAGATGGGGAATGATACACAAACTTGAAGAATTGTAGGTTACCATCCATAAACCATTCCCCATCTGAAGAGATGTAAGCTCGTTTGATTATCAGGTTCAAATCAGTAAGAACCTGAACCACCTCCAATAAGCTTCCTCTCCTATTGGCGCTATCAACCTACAGATTCCATAGAAGAAATATCAAATTTGGATGGAATCAACCGTAATTTATGTAAAACAAGAATGACTACTGTTCCCCTTCCAGTCGGATACATCACACGTTACACAAAAATCTTCCTCAATCAAGTCAAATCAAGACACTCCACCTAACAGAATAAACAAAATTGTGCAGTACCTTGATCAAAGTTGCTTTCTTGTCCGATTCATTGTCAACTGTAACCCTATACATCAAACATCAAGGAAAGATTGAAAATACACAGCAATATATAGGAAATCACACTCATTTACCTAAAATGAACGGGAAAAAAAATCACAACCTTTTTATCTTTTCTTCAGCAGTAAGCTGTATGTTATGGGGAGGGGGACAAAAGCTTAAAAAGTAGAAACCTCGACAATGAATGAAAAAAGCCCATTTCAATATATCAACCCAAAAACCAAAAGAAAAAGGAAATCCAATAAATATATGTAGGAAATGAAGATAGACGGAAGAAGAGAAAAGTACATTGGCGGGTTAATTCGAAGAGCAAGCTTCTCAAATTCATCATCGACGCTGACAGATGAAGTCCAGTAATCCATATCAACAACAACTCAATCTAAATTAAGGGGGAAAAAAGGGAAAGAAAAAGCTGCAATTCTGCAAGAGTTTTAGGGAGACGAAAAGATTGTTTGTACTAAATGTTTTACTGTCAACTCAATCCTCCGGTCTCTCAATTAAAGTTTGCAGTAGCTATCTGGAAATAACAACAACGTTGGTGGATGGGTGCAGTCAAATTGTGTAGAAATGGAGAGAAGAGGTCTGGACTCCGGAGTTAGTGGTAAGGAAGGAGTTGGCAGGTATAAAAAGCATGCTAGTGGTAGGGGCAAATGAAGCAAAGGTGGATGTGTTGTGCTGTGTTGGGCACAGCTACTACTGCTGGCTGACTAGTATGAAGTATGAACTAGCAAGTAAAGGACTACTAACTAACTACTTACCCTAGCGGCGGCGGCTCTAGAGCTGTACCCAGGGTAGTAGTAGTGGTAGTGGTAATTTCTTTCTTATCTGGAGGAAGAGAAATTTACACCTCCTGAGTTCAGCTTTGCTCGCGACTCATCACGGACTCGGTCCTTCAATTAATCAAACAAATTAAAATCCATGAAAAGAAAACACTTATGGCCAGACGCCCTTGTCTCTGGCTGCTTGTGTGGGATCCCATACTCCTCTCTTCCCCACTCCCCCCAATCCCCGGTGCTGAAATATATATATATAATTTTACTATTTTTATAAAAAATTAATAAATATGTATGTATATATAATCGAGTCGACTTACGAACTAACGAGTTAAGTATTTTTAAATGCGAGTTCGATTTAGTCAGCTTGAATTCGATGTTAACTGACTTCAAGTCAAGTTTTGATTCAAGCGGCTCGCGAACGGATTGATTCGTTTGTAACTCTAGTCTAAACAATGTAAACTCTAAAAGTAAAATCTCCTCCTATTTAGCTAAATCAGTTGTTACTGGTAACAAGTGTTACTGAATTTGTTTTGCGTTATACATCTCTACTCATAAGGCAAGTTTCTAAGCTTAACCAAATTATTATCCTTCCAATTGGAATCTCAAAAACTAATCAACTCTCGATCGATGAGTTGGCCACCAAATGAAGTATAAAGTAATAACCTAATTATAGTTAAGGGTTCGAAACTCTGTACAATTGGGCCTAACTAAATAACTATAACACTATTTGACCAAAAAAAAAAACTATAACATGCGTCTCTTTTGGTTCAGTTGAGCTCTCCTGATATAAGTTAGAATAGGAATAGAAATGAACAGAGATGGGAGAGAGAGAGAGGATCTTGTATGAGTAGGCTGCTATCCTGTAGCTCTGGCCTCTTGGCCCTCTCTTAATATTAGGTTAGAGTGGGAATATGAATTAATGGAGAAGGAGAAAGAGAGAGGATCTTGTATGGGTAGGCGGCTATCCCTCTATGTGGTTTTAGGATCTTTTACCCTTTAAAGAATCTGTAGTAAAATGGGTAATAGGCATGTCATTTTCATTCCCAGATTAAGAAACTTTTTTTTTTTTTTGTTGGGAGTCAGTGTCATTGGGTGGTTTTCTAATTACTACTATATTTGGTGCTACAATACGAGCAATAAATGTTGGAGACTGGCTTTTTAGGTTCCAAAAATCTACCAAGATTTCCTAACGAGAGCAATGGCCATGCTAGATTTTGCTCTTTAACACATTGAAGGGGTGCAGTATTTAATTCTACTTCATTTGACGAATAGGAGCATTATTGATTATGATTCCGGAGAATTCCTCCAAAGCAGGAAGCGGATGGATTCCTCATTGCCTCTCTCTCTCACTCTCTCTCTCCCCGTTGACTTGCAAGATGTGCGCTGTGAAGTTTGATTAATGACGGTACAAGAAAAATTCTCCTGTTCTGACCTTTTTTTTTTTTTTTTTGGTGGTACTAGTATTTGTCTGCTCATCCTGCTAAATGCAAACCAGAAATAGAAGCTCACGCGCCTTTTGTCTTCAGCTCCATACCCTTTTTCTTATTCCTTTGGCCTTCGCTTTTGGATTAATGATAAATGAATGGATAACCCAATTAAACCCAATTTCAAATAAGTAACCCAATTAAATTTATTAATTAGTGGATATTAAATGGATAGATTGGTACTACCTATTTAGAACTAATTAAATTAGACGTAGATTTGAATTCATTAGTGAGTAAATTTACATTACTACTAATACAATAATTATAAAGTAAATCTTATACACCCTGACAGTGTATACACTATCATCGTTGAATCTATGATATATGTGCAAGAGTTAAATTTTAAATTCAAAATTTGCATATTTGTCATTCATCCAACGCTGACATGGTCAGTGTAGGAAAAATTAATCCATAATTATATTCTACCTTTTGCAAAAGCACATTTAACGTTCTTTCTCTATTCTTTAATTTTCATTTTTTAAATTTTTGTTAAATTTCATCCTACTTCCTCCCTCCCTTCCATCAAAGTTTTAATTAACTCATTGAGTGTTAATTGATTTCTTGTATTCACATCTAAATTATTTTGAGATTCTTATAAAGTGTGAAATTTGAAACTCACCACTATTGGTCATTCTGTGTAATTTTTTTAGTTAAAAATATATTTATTAATATAATATGTTTTTATTTTTACTGATTACAATGATATCGTATTTTGTTGCTTACAGAATATGGGAGAAAAAATAAATAAAATTTGTAGTGAATCATAAATGGTTAAAATAATCAAAATCATGTAAAACTATACCCATTTAACCCACACAAATCACCCTATTTTCAGAGTTTCATCCCAACCTACGACTACAGATCCCTTGACTTTACCCTCTCCAACCCTATACTCTTATATTTATACTCCTTTTACTATTTAGGATTCGTTGCCTCACTTTTTAAGTGTGTTTTTTTTCAAACAAAAAAGTTAGAATTATAGTTGTTAAGGAAAAATAATTGGGTATAATTTTGGTGAAATACTACTATTTTTTGTGATAACCACCCAAGATCATTGTTTAAAAAATACTTGTTTTAAAATTTTTGATAAAAACTCAAAAAAATCTAAATGCCCTTTTTATTAATTTAAAATTCATATAAAAAAATTTTATTTGCACTTTTTGATATACGTGTTATATGAAAAATTATCCAGATGAAGATTTACATATGTCAAAAATTATTTAGATAACATTTTGTTTGTCAGAATGTTTACTTCATTGGTCAAAATAATTGTTTAATAGGATGATTTTAATGCTAAAAAAATTGATTTAGTTGCAATAGGTAAAATGGTTAAAGAATGGTTATAATTGGATATATCATTTGAATGTGTTAACAAATCTATGTATATACCCAGAAAGAAAGTGCTAAAAATGTTACTATGTAAATGATAAAAAAATGGGAATAATCCTTAAATTTGACAAATCAATCTTTATTAATCAAAGAGTAAAATGGGCCAAAGTGATAAAGTTGTAACTGGGTTAATGCTTTTAATATGGGTCTAATCAAAATTTTCAAATTTATTTTCTTTAATTATGGAAGAAAAACAGGGTTAAAGTTTGTAAACAAAAAATAAAAGATTTATAAAACACTCATTTGAAGTGGAAAAGTTTTAAATTTTAAATTTGAATTCATATAAAATTAGTTGTAATAAAAATATAGATTGTATTATTTATTAATCCTAAAATGGCTGATCAATAAAATAATTTATTTGTTAATAAAAATGTACATTAAATATGAACATGCTAATAAATTAATAAACTAATTATTCTTTTTAAAAAATAAACCTATAATTTTTTTGAAGGAATAAACCTATTATTTAAGATAATGACAAAAAGAAGGTGATGTTATGTTTATGGAGGGAGAAGGTTTCTGAACTGTCACCATCGCTCAGGACCTACAACGCGACGTAACCTCAACCTGGCATTACACCGTTTACACCACTATTGACGTGGCTGAGATTTTGTTTCCTCTCTGTCACGTTGATGATTTATCCTGGTTGTCATATTGGTGGTGGAGAATGTGTAACGCTAGGCAGGGGTTTGATGAACCACCTGGTCCCTCCTTATTTTTATATATATGGTCCTAGTTAAATTTCATTCCATAATTGCACTTTTTGTTTAGACTAAGGAGAATATCTTGCTAATTTGAATTAATAATGGAAAAAAAAACAAAAATTGTTATTAAAGATTAAAATATGAAAATATTTCCAAAGTATAAAATTGGTTGGGATATTGTCAATATCTCTTTGAGAATGTGCATGTGGCTAAATGTTTCTTTTAGTAGCTAGGTTTTTTTTTTTTTTTTTGATATGGAAGTATATATATTTTTTGTTAGTTATACTAAAAGAGAGAAACATATTATTGATTTGGAGTGCAAAATTAAGGGGATTTACTGTGATTAACCCTTAGGGGTATCAGTATCTTTTTGATATTTATATGCAATGTTAGTTGAATAACGAAACATCGGGGGTAAAGTACAAAACTAATTAAATCTTATAGGGAGTTTTTGTGACTAACCCTCAGTATGATTCAGCATAATTATATTGATTGATTGTACGGTACCCCGGCGCTTTTCATCCAGATTTGGAATATCTATGTGGGGTCCAGAAATTACTCATTGATAAACATCGCAATGAGGTTGTCCACGCTCCCTACACTACATTCTTTAAGGCTTTAAAATCATATGGATATTGGCCCTCGTGAGTCGTGGCCTACATGACTACTGTTTTCGGCTCATTACTTTGTAGAATCTGCAGAAGCCTCCAATTTTGGAGGGATATGAGATGGCGTGGAAAGAAGTTTGAAGAGTAATACTAAAATAAAAGAAATAGCACTAGTACGTATTAATTAAATCAAGTACTAGTAGTAGTTTTCCATCGCATTTGCCCACCTGCTGATTAGCTTCAACTCCATCTCTAAAGGCACCTGAGAGGTTTAGAATATTTGGACCCATCTGAGGATGGGTGTTGTGCGTGAATAGTCTTTTTCTAATTCCACTTATTTGATGATTGGATAATCAACAACTTTCGACCATATTTCGTTAAATGCTGGATTGAATTTCTTATCTTGGTTGAATATCTTTCCAAATTCGTATATAGAAAGCCGTCAAAGGTCTAGAACAGAAAAAGGTATCGTTTCAAAGTTAATACTACTGCATTTTAAGAACAAGATTAAAATATATAATGAATAACAGAAAGTACCAAAAAAAAAAAGAAGCAAAATTGTTAAATTATTATTGTCACTTCTCCATAAGGGGGTAAATCTTTTCATGCAATTTAGAGAGTACATAATAATAGTTTTGTAGATTTAGTGGTGCACCCACCCTTTTTATTTGATGCACTAATTATCATGTGTTTTTAGAGCACAGCATTGAGGCAAAAAAAAAAAAAAAAAGGAACCCTAAAGCCCTAAAGCCAAAT